TTTCTTTCTTTCTTTCTTTCTTTCTTTCTTTCTTTCTTTCTTTCTTTCTTTCTTCCTTCCTTCCTTCCTTCCTTCCTTCCTTCCTTCCTTCCTTCCTTCCTTCCTTCCTTCCTTCCTTTCTTTCTTGACATTTATTTATTTATTTATTAGTGCGGTGTGGGATCACGAATGGGGGGTGGGGCAGAGGGAGAGAGGATCTCAAGCAGTCTCCACACTGAGCACAGAGCCCCATGTGGGGCTTGATCTCAGGACCCCGAGATCATGACCTGAGCCGAAACCAAGAGGTGGATGCTTAACTGACTGAGCCACCCAGGCGCCCCCAGCTTATTTTCTAAGCTGTTTTTTGTGACCTGGGGGTGCTGGCTGGCTCAGTTGATAGAGCATGCTACTCTTGATCTCCGGGTTGTTGGTTCAACCCCCACGTTGGCCATATAGTTTACTTTAAGATTTATTTATTAGAGAGAGTATGAGAGAGAGCACATGCATGGGGAAGGGCATAGGCAGCGGGAGAGAAAGAATCCTCAGTCAGACTCTCCGCTGAGCACCAAGCCTGACACGGGCTCTATTCCTCAACTCATGAGATCATGACCTGAGTTGGAATGACCAGTCGGTCACCTAACTGCTGAGCCACCCAGGTGCCCCGAGTATAGCTTACTTTAAACGAAAAAAGTGTTGGAAGAGGGGAAAAGAAAAAGAACTAAATTGTTTCTTGTGACCCTCTAAATGTCTTGTAAAATTACAACTTAGTGGTATTCCTATAGCTTAAATTTGTTCTTCCTTACTCATGGTTGTATTGGAAAGCAAATTTGCTTTGAAATTTGATTCTTTCTGTATTAAATTTCTACTTTTTTTTAAGATTTTATTTATTTATTCATGAGAGACAGAGAGAGAGAGAGAGAGAGAGAGAGAGAAGCAGAGGGAGAAGCAGGCTCCCAAGGAGCAGGGAGCCCAATGCGGGACTCGATCCCAGGACCCCCGGGATCATGACCTGAGCCGAAGGCGGATGCTTAACCATCTGAGCCACCCAGGTGCCCTAAATTTCTACTTTTTAATTGTAAAGTTTTCCCCCAAGTTTTTAGTTTTTTCCAGTGTCACTGTTCTGTGTTTTGTTTCCAAAGTGGAAATAATCTTGTGGTGCTTTGATGCTTATTTATATATATAAATCTGAAAATGTATAGGTATTATATAAAGTAGTAGTCACTTGTAAAATATTACTACAGTAACTTATCCTCTAGTAATACATAAATTTGAGGTAGTTCAGTTGATTTCTATAAAGGCGAACAGGTTTTAGTTCCAGCTGTTAATATTTTTTTGGAATATTTAATATTTAGGATAAGATTTTTTTTTTTTTTTAAGATAAGCTGTATGCCCAGTGTGGGGCTTGAACTCACGAATCCAAGATTAAGAGTCACATGCTTTACTGACTGAGCCAGCCAGGTGCCCCTATTTTGAATACTTTTATTTCAGCTATTTTAAGGAA